AAAAATAAAAAGGAAAATTCCTTGAAAAATATAACTTACCCAAACTAATACAAGATGACATACAAAACCTAAATAATGCTCTATTGAAAAATTTGAATTCATTTATCAAAAATTTTCCCACAGAGAAAAATCTAGCCCAGATGGTTTCAGTGCTGAAGTATTCCAAACATCTGAGGAAGAAAGAAGACGTATCTTACACAAACTCAGAAACTAAAGGAGGAAGAAGTACTTCTCAACTCATTGATATGGTCAGCATAACCCTAAAACTACAACCTGACAAAGACATTTCAAGGAAAGAAAAGTATGAACCAAATTTCCTTATAAATTTAGAAGCAAATATTCCTAACAAAACATTAACAAATCCAATCTAACAATTTATAAAAAAGGTAATACATTCTGACCAAGCAGGCTTTACCACAAGATAGAAAGGTTGGTTTAACATTTGACATTTAATCAATATAACTCACAATATTAACATTATACAGGAGATTAAAAAAAAACAGATGTGCTCATTTCAATAGATGCAATGCTAATTCCGTTTAGATACTCACTTTAAGTTTTCTAATTCCTGTCTTCTCAATGGAGAAGAAGGTGGAGCTGGAATGAATTTATCTCCATCATGGCTTTTACTGCTAAAATAGAGATAGAATCTTAATTACAAACAGCAACAAATAAACAATTAAATGTAAAATTTTGTTTCCCTGTTCCCACTCTGACGCAAATTTTTTATGACAAAAGTGTAAAAGAGTCAGAACAATAAAAATGCTTATTTGGTAACACCAACATGTTAAAGCTATACTATATATTATTTTCTTTTCCCCAGTACACAATACTGCTTTAAAAAAATCTCTAACCGAAAACAATATTTCTTCTATGTAAAGGAAATCAATATTTTCACACATTTCTCATTCTTCTAATTGCTTTTTTTTTGTAATAGAGATGGAAGTCTCACTAAGCTGCCCAGGCTGGAATGCAGTGGCTATTCACAGGTGCTCGATCATAGCACACTACAGCCTCAAACTCTTGGGCTCAAAAGTGATCCTCCTGACTTAGCTCCTGAGTAGCGACTACAGGTGCATGTTACCTGCACCTGGCTCTTCTGATTGCTTTTAATCAACTGCAGTAAAACATAACTTGTTAACAGGAAAAACAAAAAAACCCTAACTCCACGATTTTGTTTCAGATTTTCTATAGTAAACATGTATTTCTACTATAATCAAGGAAAAAAATGCTGGGATGAGAGATATGAGTTTAAATGTGTCATGTGTGAAAAGCATAATTTCCTATATATAATGATATTTGTTTTGCTATTACTAGCTAAGCTCTCCTGATTTCTATAAATTCACATAATTTTTAATTTATACTAGGAAACTAGAAACATATAGAAATATTTTGGAGGTTAGTGGCTACCGTATGATAAGAAAAGGCAGAGGATAGGGCTGGGCACGGTGGCTCACACCTGTAATCCTAGCTCTCTGGGAGGCTGAGGCGGGCGGACTGTTTGAGCTCAGGAGTTCGAAACCAGCCTGAGCAAGAGCGAGACCCCATCTCTACTAAAAATAGAAAGAAATTAGCTGGAAAA